AACTCTTAAGATTGGGAACAATGACAGATTCTGCATCCCTGAGGTCACAACGAGCAGGAGGACGGGGAAAAGGCACCAATTTGGGGTTCCAGCCCTTCTGAGGGACACTGGCAGCGACACGTGGGAACGCGGGGATGATCCCATTGCTGCTGGGGTGGCACCACAGCTGCTGACAGACCTTGCCCCTGATCCAGCCAGCTCAGATCCTGGGACAGGGCGCAGCTGTGGGGCCCCGTGCAGGTGCAGGGGACACCGAGGAGCCCGACGGGTTTGGGAGCTCGTCGGTGCTGACAGCCAGGCTGGGATTGGGATTGCTCCATGCGGGTCCCCGCCGCTGGCAGGACGTTTCCCAACCTGGAGGAACCTGTACACACGACCACCCTTTCTTAGGCAATTTTCCTGACTCAAGATCCCATCCCAAATCAGCAGGAGATGGATCTGTGCTGCCTCTTGCAACACAACTCCATCCAAACTGGTTTTCCCATTAATCCTTTCTCCAGTGATTTTTTTCACTTTTTTTTTTGGGTGACTGCGGGTGCTGTTGGCTCTTTAGGAGCGTTTTTGGTGATGGTTTTCCTCGGATAGAGATCTGAGCCCACCAAGCACAGATGAGCCAAAATTGTGTCTTTTAGGACGCAATTCCTGAGGCAGGAGGGAAGGGAATGATTCCTCTTGGAACTGGGCAGGTGACACAAGGCAGGGACTGTCCAGCAGCCTTTTTGTTAATATTAACGTCCCAAATATTGATCTGGAACAACCCAGAGGACAGCACCGTGTTCATCCCCTTGGATCCACAGATGATTTCTGAAGGGTGAATATTTTTATAGAGGAGTGAGAAACTGCTGATTTATTTAAGTGCCCAGCAAACCACAGAAATGTGGAATAGCCTGAGCTGGAAGGGACCCACAAGGATCAAGGACAATGATCCCAGCGGGCTAAAAACTCTTAATTACACTTCCCAAATACATCTGGCAGCATCTATTGTGATCTCCACCTATAAATTAATTTTGGGGGTCTTGTGCACCACCTCACCTGGGTCCTGCCAGGTGCTGCGCCGGGTCCTGGCAGCTGAAGGGTTACTCAGCCCCATCTGCTCAGCTCCCCATTTCACAAGGGCGGGTTCGGAGTTTTACTACAAGTTTCAGACAATGAAGGTGTGTCTGCGCTCCGAGCCTCGTTTGCCCGTTGTGTAGGCGTCGGGTTCAGCGCCGTCTTGTCAACACTTGAATATGTTGAGCATCACTCACGGGGCATTCTGTAAGAAACCTATTAAGTTAATTACCGAGGCTGTGTGTGAGAGAGAGAGAGAGCGTGTGTGCTGCTCCTCCTGTAAAAAATTTGGCTTTCTTCGTTGCAAGACACTTGTGATGCAAGCCCCGGGCTCTCGGTGTGATGACATCTCGTCTGCTGCTGTAACTGAGCCGGGGCTCGGGCGAGCTGCCTGCCGGGGAGGGGGGTCAAGGGAGGACCCCCCCACTTTTCCTGGCTTGGGGACACCCACACAAACACTGGGATCTGCTGTGGTGTCCTCGGGTCCAGCCCCGGGGGGGGATTGGGGTGTAAATCCCAAATCTGTGGGGTTTGAGCTCAGAGAAGTGTGAGGGGAGTTTGAGCATCTCAGCTCCTGGTGATGTTTCTGCTTTTACGTTTCTGCTCTGTCCAAATTCCTGGGAAAACGCAGTTTCACAGGGTCCTGGAGTGGTTTGGGTTGGAAGGGACCTTAAAACTCATCTTACTCCATTCCACCAGCACAGGGTGTTCCAAACCCCGTCCGACCTGGCCTTGGACACTGCCCAGGCTGGGGCAGCCGCAGCTTCTCTGGGAGACCCCTTGCTTTGGGATCAGGGCTGGGAAAAATCCTCTTGCTCTTTTATATTTGCACCACCATCCTCAAAATAATCAGGGCTGGAATTGGAGGGGGGGAGCTATTTTGGGGTGCTGCAAGCTTGGTTTGGGAAGGGGATGGAGCAGGAGGAGGCTCCATGTGGGGACACCCCTTGTGCTTCTCCTCTCCCAGCCTTTCCACCAGGGTGGGGAAGGAGCTCTGGGTCTTTCCACCAGGGTGGGGAAGGAGCTCTGGGTCTCCCGGAGGGCAGCAGGGACGTTGGAGCGATGCTGGAACTCCGTGAGGAGCAGCACGTGCTGCTCCGACCCCTCCATCCCTTCCCGGTTTCCCCCCACATCCCTTCCCAGCCCGGCTGGAACGGGGCCGCCCCCAAAATACCTTAAAAAAAAAAAGAATAAAAGGAAAATAAACTTTTTTTTTCCCCCACTCCGGAGCCCGAGCCAGGGCAGGGAGCGGGGCGAGCGCTGCCTCCCGGCTCCCGAGGAGGTTTTTTTGGGGTTTTTTGGTTTTTATTTTTTTGGGAGGCGCTGCACAAACAGCCCCCGGCGCTCACACGCGCCCCAGGTAGGGCGGCTCAGCCCCCTCCCTCCCGAGCATCCCACGGGAGCCGCATCCGTTGGACTTTTATGGAAGAAAGGGAAGTCCGGGCACCGCCGGAGCGGCTTTTGGCAGGCGAGAGCGGCAGCAGCGCTCCCGTTAACCCCTCACCATCCTCCTCCTCCTGCTGCTGTTGCATTTTTAGGGGGGGATCAGCATCTCCGCGGGCCGGGGGATGTTCTGCAGCCAAAAAAAATCCAAATAAAAGCGAATTTGGCTCCTCTTTATTAAATAAATCCATGCAAAGCGCTGCTGAGCATCCCATCCTCCCCCAGCACCCCCTCCCCAGGCGGGAGGGAAAAGTGAGGAGGGAAATTTGTGCAGCTCGAGAAAGTTTCCGGTTGGAGTTTGTGCAGTCCCAAGGGCAGCTCTGGACTCTNGCTCGCGTTTGCACATCTGGGCAGGGCCACAGCAGCCCCACGGCCCCGTGTGTCCCCTCAGGCACTTCCCAGGTGTTTCTCTCCTCACATCCCGCCCTGCCTTCCCCTCCCGCTGCCATCCCAGGCACCCGGACCTGCCCAGGTCCTCACTCATCACCTCCCTGCCACTGGGAGATTTCAGCTCCAGCCGAGCCAGAGCCAGAGAGCCGAAATCCCAGGATCTGAGGGAGCCCTTGGCTCCCTGGTGACCTTTGGGGCAGCTGGCAGGAGGCTGTCCCCGGCCGTGACTCAGGGCAGAGCAGTTTCCTTTGGAGGCAAAGGGAAGCTTTGATCGCAGGGAGCCGAGGCACCAAACCCTGCTCCCCACGTGCACCTTTGCTGGGAGTTATCTGAGGCATCTTTTTTTTTTTTGGGATAATAACTCCCAGGGCAGGTTAGGACGGAGGAGGCCTGGCAGAGGAGCGTGTGTGGGCAGGACTGGAATAACGGGTGCTGTAGGAGAGGATTGACGAGCGCTGGGAGGTTGGGAATGGCCGGGAATAGCACAGCAGGTCAGGGGTGAGGTGGGATGTGCAGGGCCAGGATGGGGGTGCAGCTCCTGGTGTTGTCCCTTTGTCACCCATACAGGACGGTTGGTGTCCCAGGAATGGCTCCTTGCTCCCGGGAATCATCCCAGGATGGGGATGGAGAGCCAAGCCTGCAGTATTGTCCCTTTGTCACCCATGGAGTCCCCACAGGATGCTCAGTGTCCCAAGAAAGACTCCCTGCTCCCCATCCCAGGATGGGGATGGAGAGCCAAGCCTGCAGTATTGTCCCTTTGTCACCCATGGAGTCCCCACAGGGTGCTTGGTGTCCCGGGAATGGCTCTCTGCTCCTGGGAAGCACCCCAGGACAGGGATGGAGATCCAAGCCTGCAGTGGGACAAGCTCTGTGAGCAGGAGTTTGTTGAGAGCAAAGCCAAAGCTTTGCCATGGGAATGATGCTGGAAATGAGCTCAGTCCCACCTGGAATGGGCCAGATCTCCCAAATCCTCGTGTGCTGAGTGTTTGGCTCTTAAGGGAATTATTGTGGCTTTCCCAGGGTGCCACAGCCTGGATCCCCGGCCTGGATCTCCACACAGTCTCTGTGTGCAGGTGACAGCAGTGTCACCTGTGCCAGGGCATTGTGGATCAAGCCCCTAAATCCCGAAGAGCCGAAGAAAAGCCCTGGCACACCCACTTAAAGAAAATTTTCTTTACAAGGAAGTGATGAGAGAATGATCTTCACAAGGCAAACACAGAAAATGTTGGGAAATGAATCCCTGGGGAGAAGTGGGCACAGGAGGGGTCCATCCCTCTGTGTGTTTCTCCTGAGGACTCCAGTTTCACCTAAAACCTCTTTTTGTCCTTTCAGGGCTCGGATCTGAGGGTTGGGAAGATCAAAGGGAAGGTCCTGACAGGTGAGTGCAGATCCCAAATGAGGGGATGGGGTCTCAGGGTGGCAGTGCTGGCTGGGGTGGGCACACCAGGAGGGAACACAAGGAGCTCCCTAGGGCACAGCTGGGCACTGTCTGAAACAGGAGCCACTTTTTCTCTAATTTTTTCTAGAGGTAAAAGTGGTTTAAAAACACCCCAGCGGTTGGAAAGGCTCCAAACCAGTGTAAAAAAAGAGGGGGGAGGGTTAAACCCAAAAGAAAAACAGAAGATAAAAGCGGGTGAATCCCAACAACTCCTGTGATGTTGCAGGAACAAAGACTTTCAGTTCAGAATGGGCCAGACGTGGGCCAGGGGAGAGGGGCTGGGGGCTCACCTGGCTCCTGGTGCAGCTTCAGCCCCTTGGTGTCACATCCTCCTGTCCCTGGTGGAAGCTGTGCATCCCATGGATGTCCCTCTGTCCTCAGCAGCTGGACATGCCCTGAGCCAGCTGTGGGCCCCACATCTGGGCACCTCCAGCCTGGAGCACAGCGGGGACCCCAAAACCCCCCTGGG